GACCTTTTTTGTATTCTTCTCTGCTTTCACTCATTTTTGAAAGGAATTTAATACTCTATAGAGTTGTAAGGATTTGATTTACTGGTTCGTATTTTACTATTACTACATTGCTGATTGTGTCAGATCATTGCACAGTGGGACCCACAAGTGCATATATTCTCATTGTAGTTAGTTACACTTTCTCCTCATGTATCTACACGTGTACCACCCTATAAAAGACAGTATCGACTGCTGGGTAAAGGGGATTCTTTTCCCCTGACCCCTTGCTCGAGTACTAGGTTATCCCAGTCAGTAGTTGAGTGAACTAAGGGCAATTAGAATTCTCTTGTGAGGAACAGTGAGTTTCCTTACATATTTTTGACTGTACCCACCTAGCACTGAAACCTCTTGCTGGATGCTGAGGAACTGAAGGGTCTGATCAACCCTAGGTCTCCCTCATCGTCTAGTACCCATCAGGAATTTTTAGTGAGTAAAGTTATGATTTTCGAGTAGAAACAGAGACTACTTACTGGATTGGCCCCTAGTAGGTTCACAATGCTTCAGAATGCTACAGAATGCTTCTAGAATGCATTATCACATATCAATATGGACTAGTGCTGGATATGCTGGAGGTTCACATTGATTGGATGGGTTGAGGACCAGGCATCTGTGACAGCAAAAAGGAACAAACAGGTGTGCATTGAGTTTACAGGCAATGGACAACAAGATTATCCATTGAATATTGATTACAATGTGGCTGCTGAGCCTTGACTGACGATTCCTAGAGGGTACCCAAGTCTGGATATTAATACTAACATGCTAGGAAGTAAGTCCTCGTCCCTTGTGGGCTGGAGGCAACCTGATGAACCTATACTAGGTGATAAGTCCTTGTCTACACAAGGCTGGAGGCACCCTGATGAACTACTACATACCAATAATGTAGAACTAAGGCATGTAACTGTACCAGTGTATATAGTTAGACAAACGTGCACTGTAGAGTAGACACTAGCAAGTATTGACACTACTAGGCTCAGAGAAATAACAAACAAAGGTACAGAGAGTAGAAACACTCAGGCAATTGTTCTTGAGGATTCAGACAGTCAAGTTCAGGATGAACAGGTGATTGGATTTGAGGATTTGTCCAATCAAGTACAGAAGGTTGAGTTTGAGGATTCAACTCACTAAGTACAGGTGATTGAGCTTGAGGATTTGCTTGATCAATTTCAGGCTACTGAGTTTGAGGATTCACTTGATAGAGAACAGGTGATTTGGTTTGAGGATTCACTAAGTCGATATAGAGAGCTAACAGCAAGCATTGAGGAATTTGTAAGCTAGTACAAGAGTTACAGAGTGTATATAGTCAGTATCAGTGAGAGTGTGGATGAGTATCCAGTGAACACACTTACTTTAGAATGGAAACACATTGACAACAGCAATGTAGAGGGTAATAAGACATCTAAGACCCTTTTAGGCAGTGAAGAAAGCAGTCAGGACTCGAAGAACAAGAGTAACAGACAAGGCCAGGAGAGCCAGGCATTAGAATTACAGAGATCCAATGAGGAACAAGATTTCCAGAAGGCAAGTAAGACCTTCAGACACATTGCAAGAGCCAGAGCAATTGAGATAGACATAGAACATGTTAGCCCATTCCACAGTTCGATAGGTATTGACAATTTGAATAAGAGAACATACAAGTTTGATGGAATGTATCAGGAAGAGGAGAATGTAACTCCTTCATCAAACAAGAGTGGACTTGATAGTATAGTAATGGAAAAGTGTGAAATGCTTCAGGCAGGCTACAGAATGAAAGCCAGACATGCTACAGTACCTACAAACAGTAGAGATCAGAACTATCAATCTAAGAGTCCAGACAAACTATTGCATTTGCAGAAAGTGAAAGGAAAGCAGAAAGTGAAAGGAAAGTGCAAAGTGAAAGGAAAACACAAAGCACAAGGAACAGAACGAAAACTGGAACTGTCAGGCATTCAATACGATTGTAAAATCGATTCAGACTATCCAAGCAAAACAGACATTGCATTTACAGAACAGTACTTTGAGGATAGCAAAAGTGAGTGCAAATTGGAACTACAAGGATCAGTACTTGATCCAGAGGGTGAAAATCAAGCATACACCTACAAAATCAAGTGTTTAACCTCATACATGGCAGATATTGACTATGCATTGCACAGGAGCAATGTACAGGACTACTACAATGGATACAACACCCTAGCCAGGTCCAGGAATAAGAGAGAAAGTGAAATACCTGGATATATGTGGTCTCAAATGGAAACATCAAGTTTTTCAGGACATCAGAGTATCCCTTGCAAAAATAAAAGGAACAAATGATCCCATAGTAATACTTTGTGATTGAAAGCAGTCCCAGGCAAGGTATACACTAGTGGTATTAGTGAGAACAAAGTTGATTCAGAGTGTAGCAAACTATGCAGTTCAAAGCCACATATCAAGTGTAGCAAGTATAAGAATAGCTCAAGCAGTAGTTCAAGAACAAACACAAGTTCAGGTATACAAACAACACATTTGAAAGGGCAAATTCAGTATATTCGAGACCCTATGAGACTACAGCATTTAGGCATTGTACTACAGGCATTCAGTACAGGAATAAGTATTGTAGGAAGTCTAAACATTGAGATAGACAATTGTATAGTACATACAATGACATTTTACACTTGAAAGCACAGGCATACAGTGTAGAAAGGATTCTACAAGACTACAGATACGTATGGCACATGGAAAGGACTAGGAAACACACATACAACCATTGTTTCAAGGAATCTAAGATGCTACAGGCACAAGGCAATGTATATAAGGACACTTTAGAGACACTACTACCAATTCTTAGAGCCACAAATCAAAACAACACTCTTAAGAAGTACAGGATGTTTACAGACAACAAGAATGTGTACTAGGACATTAGGAAAGGACCTGAGAATGTTAGACAATCAGAATATAACCAGCCAGATAGTATTATGGTTTACAAGGTGATGCAAATAGTAAACTGCACAAGCAGGACAATCTATCAAGCATTACTAGACTATAAACTACAACTACTCTTGGATACTGAGAAATATTTCAATCCAAACGATTCACACAGGTATTCTATTAAGTTAGAAGGTTACATTATGTATTGGAAGACAGAAATCAGTACATTGAGCAAGGAAAAGTGTATATACATTGAGAATACAATGATACCACTTCAGAATAAGCATCAGGCATGGAGATACATTGACAGTGATAGAAAGACACAGACATACACATACACAGTCGATTCTATTCAGTACAGGAAGGTATTTGAAAGCAAAGAACTGCTTCAGACAATTTCAGGATCAGGAGAATGTTCAGACATTCAGGCATATTGATTCTACAACATTGGAACAGACATTTCCATCTTCAGGATTGAAGAAACAATCAGTACAGAGTACAATCAAAGTAATTCACATAGAACAACATTCTATAAGGTACAATTGGATGTTACACTACGAAACTATTCAATTCATGACAAAGAATTGTTCAGAAACGTTAGAACCAGCTCAGACTACAAGGATATATTGTACAGAATGCAGTTTTAGGAGAACATAAGGTACAAACTGGTGAAATACACCTTCAGACAGTCAGGATTCATTAGAATAGACTCAGGACACTCTATCAGACGTATTATGAGCATCATAGGTACTCAAACAGATGTGCTAGTGTGTATATACTCAGGATACATAGTAAGAATTGTGTTATTCAAGCTATAGGATGACAATTACAACCTACAGGATGTAAAACAGTTACAATCTATGTAACACAAGGATAGTAAGACACTACTGAGATCAGGAAACAATACACATTGTATAGAACAAAGTACAGAAGTTCAGAGGGTGACTTCAAGCCAGAGAACAGGTTTGGAACCTGGACAATCCACTCAATCTGCTCAATCTGCTCAAACAGATTATCACACTACTTCAAGGGAAAGCAAAGGCAATACACATACAGCTAGCAAAGATTAGAGTGATAGTGAATTAGCAATGATTGAACAGACTATTCAAGCATTCAGGCATGATACTTTAATGCTACAGAAGGAAACAGAGCATCAGGATGCTCTAGGACATCTATTGGACAATGATACAGTTTAATCTACTCTAGGAATGAGTAGTTACAATCAGTTTGAAGTACAAAATCATGTAGAAGACCTCTCCAGACACTACAGATATGTTCTAGGACAGTACCAGACGTTTTACACTGAAAATGAAGTCATATTTTGACAAGAGGGCAAGAGGCACATGTATTACATTGTATACACACTTTTTGAGCATACAATCATGTTTGAACATACAAATTTTCTCACTTAAGATACTACAGAACGATTTTGTGAAGGACTTTGTAGTACCAGACAGTATCAGTACCACAGGAAACAGGACACATGATAGGTACATAAGGAAAGAATACATTGGAACAAGGACAAGGACACAGAAAGACAGGAAGTCAATGCTAGAATGTATTGATCCACACATGGATTTGCCAAATGAACAAGGAATTGGCAGCATACACTCAGGACTTCAGGCAGCACTACTGTGCATACAGACAGGACATTTCATTGAGACATACATGGAACAACACAGTATACAGACAGCTACAGCACTCAGGAAAGTAGAGAATGCTACTTGGACACAGTATGATAGAACATTACACTATGAGACATTGAAAGTATACTTGGACGATTCAGGAATCGAATCAGTCGACTTACAAAGACACAAACAAGTTGAGATACAAGGAAACAGTATGAGAATACAGTAGGACATTCATTGCACACAGAGATACCATACATATACTCACATATCTAGTGATACTAGGCTCATACCTTACAATCTCATTGATTTTGAGACAATATTTTCATTCAAGGACAGATATTACACTCTAGGTTGTACTCCACAATTAGTATTTGGACATCAGGCTCAACAGGATATCCAGTGTTGCATCACAGTTGGTTATTGCATGCAAAAGAGTACATACTTGGACATATTCTACCAATACGAGTGCAAGGCACTACATTTGCAGGAACTAGTCTATTGGAAAAATCAAGGACATAGTAGAGGAATTTTGGAATACATCTCCACTATCTATTATTACATTACTATTCTACAGGAGTAGAGAAACACACAAGGTCAGCTAGAAGCTGTAACACTAATTCATTCTATTGAGGAAGAAGGCTATAGCTTTGTTGATCAGGGATTTACCTCTGTGCTTCCCAAAGATGCAGGAGAAGAGAATATTTGCAATTACCATACTGCCAGAATTTCCACTTCCATACATATTGATCTACACTGTGTGTCTCAGAATACTCAAGAGCCAAAACACCATATCTCCCCAGGAACTCTACTGATTCTCTTTGAAAAGTGTTGTATCAATAGCAACAATCAAGAGGCAACTTTTCTACTAATTGACCATACAGTAATATTGACTATGTTTAATTCTATTGACGTTTTATCTAGTTTCACATGGTTTGGAACCATGCTACTCACTGTCCAGAACACCACCACTGTCTCAATACACACCAGATCGACTTCGGATCACTTCAGAGAGGCAGTACTACATCACAAGGATGTTTCCCATACGTATGGGCAAGGTATTTTATTATTTACTTGTTACTAACTGTTACTTTTAGTATGTTTTCTGCCTTTTCTACTGATTTTTAGCATTTAGGACTAAATGCTAGAGGGCGAGTGTAAGGATTTGATTTACTGGTTCGTATTTTACTATTACTACATTGCTGATTGTATCAGATCATCACACAGTGGGACCCACAAGCGTATATATTCTCATTGTAGTTAGTTACACTTTCTCCTCATGTATCTACACGTGTACCACCCTATAAAAGACAGTATTGACTGCTGGGTAAAGGGGATTCTTTTCCCCTGACCCCTTGCTCGAGTACTAGGTTATCCTAGTCAGTAGTTGAGTGAACTAAGGGTGATTAGAATTCTCTTGTGAGGAACAGTGAGTTTCCTTACAAGAGTGTTGTATTCATAAAATGCTAGACTACAAGTACTAATTTACAGAGTGTAATATTATTGTGTTTTGGGGAAGTTATATATTTTTTTTCACCTGTGCAATACTTTTGTCATATACTGTAGATGGATTGGGGGGAATGCCCTTATAAGTTTGTGATTTGAGCTATAAATAGGCTGATTAATTTCCCTGCTACTTAATTAATTGCAGTCCCCTACCCGGATGAATGTGTTTATAGTTTACTTACCAAGAGATAAACGCGTTGAAACATCTGCTCATCCATAGGGACTTTATTCATACGTTTTGTTTGGTATCAATCAACTTCTATACATTAAAACCTCTCGCAAATACAATCTGCTGTAGGTTTATCCGGAACAGGGGTGGAGAATAGCATGTTTGAAGTCCAGAGGCAAGTAACACATTGAAGAAACACGCAAAATACCTAGCAAGGAGAAAGCCACAGTATGAGGAATTACATAAAAGTTCGAGTAAACAGGCACGGAAATCTAGGAGTCACTCTTGTCGTCCTCCTCTTCCTTTAATTGACCATTCTAATGACTAAGTGAAGCTCATCCCCTACTTCGAGATCTCCCATTGTTTGGAAGTCATGGCAATTGAACAAGACTCGTTCTCCGTCAGAGTCTATACCAAGATCCTGTAGTAGTTGTGCTCTATGAAATTTCAAACTGGTCAGAACATCTTTAAGGAGGTAGAAATGTTTAGCATACTTCATGTAATCGATACTGAATGCTTTGCATGTATACTTAAGGACGCTGACCACTTTGCGTTCACGATAGAATCTGTATCTGCGAGTTCTGTAGTAGCTGTTGGGTGGAGGTTCCACATTGATGATGACGCCTTGTTCATGCGGTCCTAATCTTTCGGATATGGGCTCATAGCGTGGCTGACTGTTATTCTCGCCTTCCCTAGCAGGGCAAATAGAGAAAGTACATAAAGTTGACCCAGTGGTTGAAGTAGTTGCACTGTTAGGTGGGTTCTCAGGTGCTGCTCTGCCTGAATCTAGCAACCGTCCAGAAGAAGGTTTCTCTTCTATATTACAAAAGTGAGAAAGACTAGATCAGAAGCCAGAAATAGGAGTGGTATTACCAGCAGTCGGTTTCGAAGTCTGTTCCTTCTCCCTCAGAGTTTCTTTAGGTTCCTCTCCTGCATCTGCTTCATTATTGAAAACATTCAGTTGAATTTCAAATCCCTCTAAAATAATGCGATCAGCTCACCTCCCACTGGCTTCGGCTCCCCCGGCCCTTGTGTAGGGGCATCTGGTTGTTCGTGTTCATGACCATTCACTTCGACATCCTGGCCATGATTTCCATCTAATGGGGTACCACCAACGTGTTCGCTTTCGAGAGTTCCCGTGCTCGTCTGTTGTTCTACTTCTGCTTCATCCGCAGATTCTGACGACGCTCCATTCATTTCAAGTCCTTCACGCTTCGGTTCGTATTTCACATTAGATGCAAGTGCTATGCAAAAAACACAAATCAATAAGTTTGCGAAAGAGTGCACGGAATCAATAATCTCTCACCAACTTGCTGCCTTTCCGGTCTAGCATTGGCATGGCTGGGGTATCGGACGCGAACGTATACATTCCCTACGAGGTCCTTGATCCATATCCAAGTTTCCTCATGGATCCGTATTTTTATCCCCGCGCAGATATCCAGTTCATCCGTTTCCAAAGCAATGCTTTCCTTTTCGAGATTCCATTCCTTCGCAACGTAATCCTGCAAATCCGCATACTTCACGTATGAATTCACGGGCACCAAGACACGGTCTTCGTCGTAATGTACGACGAATAAATGCACGGAGGTGCGATCTGAGGGACACAAAGTGGACGATACGAGCATGGTGAGCTGTCTGGTGTCTCTCTTCAAGATGGTGGTTGAGATTACCGTTGGAAACATCTTGCTTTTTGAATGAAAGTAATGGAAATTGAAATGTCAACTGTCAAAGGACAGCGCCCTGCTTAACGCATTTATATGCGTCACGTGAGCGTTTTCTATGCACTGTTATGCTATACCCTTTAATAACTGGGATTCTTTTACCGCCTTAACACTATCCCTTGGGAAAAAATGCTCGCAATCATTTGATTCAATTCCTTTCGTCAGGTATCCATGCGAAACTCACCAACCGTTATTTCGAGCTGTGGGAAAAGTGTTCTCTCGTTCAGGCACTCCTAGATCGCACATTACTCGGACGAACCAGCATTTTCTCATGTTGCTGTGCGTAGAATTGAGGTCCGTCTATGCTGTTCCTGGTTTGCGGAGTATGTGCGTCAATTCATGGGAATTTCGTTGTCTGATTTCACTAGCGTACAATTTTGAATGGGAGATTACACATCAAAGTAGTATTACGACAAGTATTATGATCGGGGAATGTCTCAATCGATTACGTTTTGACAGGTGCCAGAAAACATCAAGATGATCAGCAACGTTGCTTTATTCTATTCTTTGTTGTCTGGTTTGCTGAAGAGTATGATGACATGCTAATATCCCTGACTTTGTAATTTAAACGAGATTACTCTATATTTCTTTGTGTTACATTTTTAATCTACTCCTTTCGCCGGCTTGGTGCTCAATATATCTTTCAATACCTTGTTCCCGGTTGTGTGAGGGGCGGAGATACAACCTAATGTTCCGCTTAAGAGTTGACAATTCCGCAAGTAGGAAACTATTAAGTATGTCTGCAAACATTATTCTGCTGTTAAAGAAAAGCATGATAGAAATCCAGTGACAAAGCAATGCGTCCCAAATAAGCAAAATGCCAAAAGCGTCATAGCGTGAAGTGTCATAGCGTGTTGATTCATGATAAGCTCGAGTAAACAGACCACCACAGGAACTCAGGCTTCGCTCTCCTCTTCCTCCTCTTCCTCTTCATGGATCATAGTAATGACGAAGCGTTGGCTTTCTTCTACCTTGAGAGACGTCATTGTTTCGTTGTCATGGCATTTGACCGTGACGAGTTTTCCCTGATCATCTTCGTCAACAACCATCCTTAGTCGTGCTCTATAAAAATTCAACAAGCGCGTCAGAACATCTTTTAGAAAGACGGAGATGTCGTAATGTACTTAGTGTGATCGATCTTGAATGCTTTCGATGCACCCTTGAGGACAGTGCGTACAGAGTGTTCGCGTCGAATTCTAAAGCCCCGAGTTTCGTAGATGCTATCAGGTGGAGGCTCAACTATGATAAGTACACGTTCTGGATCTCCTGATCCTGCCCTTTCTGGGGAATGCTCATGATGTAATTGACTTTTTGCCTGAGATTCTCCGGCAGAGCGAGGTGTGTAAGTGGATAAAGTTGACTCAATGGTTGTTGCTGTAGTTGCGCTATTAGGTGGTTTCTCAGCGGCTGCTCTACCTGAGCTTAGGAGCTGCCTCCAGGTTAATCTACGTCCGGAGGACGGCTCCTTTGCTAAACGATGATAATGAGAAAAGATTGCTTTAAGAGAAATAAACTTGTATTTACCAAGACCAGGTTTTGTTGATGGTTCCTTCTCCTTCAGAGGCTCTTCACCCTCCTCTTCCGCATCAGCTTCATCATTGAAGAGGTTCAGTGTGTCTATATGTTGAGTTTCAAAACTTCTACAATCCCGCAATCTGCCTCAGCTCACCTCCCAAAGGTTTTGGCTTTCTTGGACTTCGTGTAGCGGCAATTGCTGGGTCATGTTCGTGATTATTTATTTCAGCATCCTGGCCATGATTGCCGTCTGTGGGAGCGACATCAATGTATTCGCTTTGAGGAATCTCCGTCCTTGTCTGTTGTTCTACTTCTGCTTCATCCGCAGATTCTGACGGTTCTCGGGTCATTTCGAGCACCTCGCGCTTCTGTTCACATTTTACAGCAGGTGCGAGTACTACGCAAAAACGTACGAAAGTCAATAATCTTGTAAAATCGTGCTCGACATCAGTAATCACTTACTTTCTTGTCGCCCTTCCGATTTAGCCCGTCTGTGGCTGGGATATCGAATACGGACGTACACATTCCCTACGATGTCCTTTACCACTATCCAAGCTTCTTCGTGGATCCGTATTCTTTTCCCCGCGCAGATATTCAGCTCATCCGTTTCGAAGGCGATGCTCTCCCTTTCGAGATTCCATTCCCTCGCAACGTAATTCTGCAAGTCCGCGTACTTCGCGTATGGATCTACGGGCACCAAGACACGGTCTTCGTCATAATGTACGACGAATAAATGTACCGAAGAGCGATCTGAGGGGCACAAAGTAGACGACACAAGCATAGTAAGTTTTCTGATCCCTTTGAGAGATGGTGGTTAAGATGACAGTCGGAAGCGATGGGGCGTCAAAGTTCGAAGGTCGGACTGCAGGTGCGCGTGTCTAACGCGTTTTAGTCCCGTCATCAAAAGAAATGTTTGCCAGCATGTTTCTTGAGGGATAGTGTTAAGACAGCAAAAAACATCCTTCTTTTAAAGTCTGTAGCATAAACATCTGAGCAGCCAAACACATCAGGCATTTCACAATTTCTTGCCTTAAAAAATAACTTACATAATGTTAAACATTATTTGTAATTTAATTTACCATTTCAGTTTAGTAGAAATTCAAAATAATATTTTAAGTTTTTTCTGTATTTGTATTGATTATGGAAGAAACTTGAAATTTTGTTCATGATTTCTATCAATCAAAAATGGTAAATTTAATTACAAATAATGTTTAACATTATGTAAGTTATTTTTCACAGCAAGAAATTGTGAAATGCCCGATGTGGAAAGTGCCTAGAAAGACGCTCACGTTTCTTTTGATGGATATCCTAACCAAACGTAGCAACAAATTACTCAGCATCCGATATTCCAAATCGTGAGAAAAATACGCTCTCGATTAGGCAGTCCCCGACTTATCGATGATAAATAAACAACCATTCTCAACGCCAAGAAAGCAAGGTGTTCAGCTTACCTGCCTATAAGACTCGAAGGCCATCTACTGCGTTCCGATTTTTTTGCAGAAACTATGTGCCCCAGTTCGTCAGGCCGCATGGTAACCTCGTTGTATTACTTCTCGCGGGTTCGGCATCGATAAGACGTCGCGCTGACCATCAAGAAGCTGACCATAACTCAGATAACGACGACTGTAAATGTACTACCTTGTGCTGTTTGAAACTTGTAGGAATTATTGGAGCTAGGAACCTACATCCTGTTGTAAACAACGAAGCTCACCCTTCCCGCATTCAGCATCTTACGGAGTATCACTGAAGTTCTCTCGTACCCTTCGGATTGCGATCTGTCAATCCAGTAGGAGTAATGACTCGTCAGAGTTATCTCTCCCAGTAGGAGATGCAATAGACAGAATACGGCACAGGTATTGAAAGCTTGGCGACGTAGAAGCATGACGCGAGAACATCTTGACATTAAAACCTCGAGGCAAAGGTCCTTACCGAGCACGATGAACTAGTAAGCCCCAATCAAACCTATGCAGCATTAATATCTGACAAGTTCCATGGTCTGTACATGCGCTGGTCAGGTAGATCATTGCGAATCCTGTGTCTAGAAGATGCGGTCCAATAATCAATTCCTTAGGAGACGAGATCCACGCTGAACAGCCAGCAGAGAAGTGTTTGTATGGGTTCGTTGTGAGTTGGCAGTTGCTTCTTAAGATTAATGATGTCATTCTTGCCCTTTACCCAGCAATCAGGTTGTTGCCTGTAATCACGCCATAAAAACTTGGGTGCTTTGTAGGACTACTATATGAACTCTGCCAGAGTTGGGTACTATCACCCCACAGGCCACACTCGCAAACATTGAATACACGACTAGAATACAAGGTGAGAAAGGATTACTTAAAAGACAAACACTATCTGCGTTGGCAGTTTGCTTCCCAGCAACCCTCCAATCTGTTTGAGTAGAGATGCAGTTCTACCCACGTTGCATCGATTTGTCCACGGTTAAAAAAAGGTCACGTATTTGCATTCCATCAATCTCTATATGCATAGTATGCTGGTAAGAAGGTGACTGTGTGGAGACAGTGGAGTTAAACCCGTGCCAAGTTCGCCTTTAGTATGAGGAACCTACTTTCTGGGTACATACAATGTCCTCAACGGAGGTGTCTGACTATTTGTCACTCTCGGAGAGCGTGCTGAATAGTGCATCTACTTTGGGGTGTAACATTGTTTGGTCCAGGAACGATAGACTTGGTCCTTGTTTGATGAACGTAGAAGAAGCTGGAAAATCCACGTTGGATAATTTAGTCGTTGACTCACTAGCGACTTACGTTGTATGGCTCCTGCTATGTTATTGATTGGGGCATGGGCGGGTTCTGGTAATAGCAATTCTGTCAATTGGTTCCCGACTAGAATGCCAAATATTAGTTTTGTCGGTTTGCTGTACAATGTAGTCCACAAAAACAAACCTCTAGAGTTTACAGACGACACACGTGCTGGCATCCATGAAACAAAATCCTGCAGGAAATAACAGACCAGTGAGAGCACTCCTGCAATAAGGGGCAGATCTACTTACCGCCAACTCGTAGTCTAAATTCGTGTTACACATTTTTCTCAGATCAACACAACGTTCTAAATACGATAGAACGCATGTCATAGATGGACGACCGCCTGGTTCCTTGTCCCAACATGTGTTGTCTCCTCCATTTCCGCAAAGGGACCAGACCTTCTGTGACCAGAAAGACCACGGGATATCAGGTTTTGAAGGTAGCTGGCCCGACATAATGGCAAGTATGACTTGTATATCGGAACTTAGGTGATTAAACGGCTGTTTTCGCGACAAAAGCTCCTGGGCATTGATCAGACTTCCCTTCCGCAGGTCACAGCTTCATACACTCACAAGGACAAGCATCCCAAATGCCCACACGTCTGATGCTTTACCATGGCTGGCGCCATAAAAGATTTCCGGGGCCATATACCGAACTGTACCTTCCATCTCGTCGTCGGAGATCACATGAGCAGCATTAGTCTTGTCCAGCATTCGAGATATGCCAAAGTCGCAAATGAGAGGCTCTCCAGACAACGACACCAGTATATTTGCCTAATAACTATCAGGCTTGCAATCTTGCTAGATATTACAGATGCGTACCGCCTTGATATCCAAATGCACTATATCATGTTTATGCAAATACACTAATCCACGTGCTGTTCCAGCGAGCTTTGAACAATTTCAGAAGCCACTCTGGTTATCATTGAAGCATGTTCCTACCATGGCAATAACGTCAAGTTGAGGATGCTTTATCATGTACTGGGAGAGATCTCCGTTATCCATCCAGGGTGAGACAAGGGAGATATGATTGCCACCGAACATGAAACCGTGAAACGGAAGCACATTATCATGGCTAAGTTTGGACCAGATGAGAATCTCTCGTCTGGCGCGCTTAAAAACGGGTTTGGTAAAGCGAATAGCAAACAATTTACTTCTCAACTCACCTTGATGAATTTGATGGGGTCATCCTCTGCGAACAACCGAAGTCGCTTGACCGCAACCTGCTTCAAGTTATACACGCCAGAAAAGACATCGGAATGTGCCCCAAGGCCCTTGAGTTGTCTACAGAGCTCGACTTTTCCAGAGAGATTAAAACGACGTTGGCTCGTGAGTATCATGACGGGGCAGAGGAGGGTAGGAGATGTACGTGTTTGCGACGTTTGGGACCTTAATATACTCTCTGCAACGTCTGACATGAGGCAATATCATGTTACATTACTGTTGTTTTCATAAATATTGTCACACACGCAATTCGTGATTTTCGTCACACTAACTTCTAAGTATACTCAAATACAAAATCTACTATAACTCAACTAATACCTAACCAAATTACATGATCTAAGTTGTAAAAATTAAACTTTTGAAGTTTTCCTTATATTTCATGTATATGAGTTTTCCTGGCCCTAAAACTGACTGTACAATACTAATAAACCAGTCTAAATGAAAAATATAACTTTATTATTAATTTACATATTGAATTCTAGCTATAATACAGAATATACATACAAGTATAATACATATTTAAGTTTGCTAAAATTGAGCATTTTCTCTCAACCTCTTTATACTTAGGAAAGGTTCTTCTATATATTATTCATATTTGTAAATTCATTCCAAATAAATTAGACTAGTTTTAAACACTTTTAATAAATATAGTATGGATTTCTAGTCTAAATTAAGTAGTAAGTTATTATTCTATATACTTATTTGATAGTACTTCTCTAACACATATAACTTTACTATAACTTATAAAAGTACTTATATTTAATATATTTTATTTATAATAAATTTACTATAATAAATAATACTTAGAAGAACCTTCTCTGAGTATAAAGAGGTTAAGGGAAAATGCTCAATTTTAGCAAACTTAAACATGTATTATACTTGTATGTATATTTTGTATTATAACTAGAATTCAATATGTAAATTAATAATAAAATTATATTTTTTATTTAAACTAGTTTATTAGTATTATATAGTTAGTTTTAGAGTTAGGAAAACTTATATATATAAAATATAAGGAAAACTCATATATTGTATTGTATTTTACTCAATTTTTACTTATATTACTTTATTCTTTCTATAATATAAAAAATACTTTAAAAGTTTAATTTTTATAACTTAAATTATATAATTTAGTTACTACTGCTTGTATAATTCCTTAGAATGGTAAGATCACATGATTTTTTGTTACAAAGTTGAAAAACACAAAGAAAATACAATATCTCACTCAATCCTTAACATAAATGTGTACTATTAGTACCTAAATTCATAATTTTAAAATCCCCTTCAGATAGATACTTTATTAATCAAATTTGAGTAAGAATTGACTAAGATATAATGAAAATACATAGTTTTTCATGTATTTCTAGTGTCTGATTTTTCCTTACCTTAAAACCAGACATATAGGCTTGGAAAACTGCTTACTATAGTTGGATATATTAATACTTAATTTAAATACTAAATATGTTGTAAATTATGTGCTTATTCTACTTTGTTAAGAGAGGGTTAAAATGTGTAAAACTAACTATTTCTCTCTAGCTCCCCCTACACTCAATAAATTATTTCCAACCTCAAACTGTATTCCTAAATTAAATATAAGTATAATAAAGTGTATTACAGAAAGCTTTATGTTCATGTGTTAAGAATTGAGCTTAGTATAAATGGAAGAACAAAAGTACTTATAACAAAAGTACCTTCTCTGTTCTGAGCTCAATTCTTAACACATT